TAACAATGAAAGAAGGGGGCAGAGCTGAAGCTATGAGCAATGTGGTTCTCATCAGAGATATTTAATACTGTTTTTGACTCAACAATCACGCCTCCATGTAGTCATCTAAGAAATTATGGGTGCTCTGGGAGCACAGATGGACTAAAAGATGTCTTTTAAGGCACAACTGCTCATCCAGGTGTTACAAGATCCCAAAAGGGGGCTTCTTTGTGCTGCTTTCTCACGACTTGATCTCCTCAGACTCACAGAAATGACCGCATATGACTAGCTTTAGATCCTTTTAATCCTTTCAGCTGACAGATTCATTCCTTGACTAAACCACAAGGGTTTGGGTTGTCTGAGCAGACCAAAGGAGAAATCAGTACAGATTTTTAAAACCACCATGCCTTGTAACTTGGCCACAGCTATGTTGAAATAGACTTTTTAAGCGATTCATTTTATCCTCCAGGCTTTTAAAAACACATCTGCATTAGATCGATGGTGTTTCAGTCTGATTATAAGAAAATAATCTTAAAAAAGGCATTACAGGGAAAGAGAAGAAACCTGAAGGATTAGTTATAGAAAATAAAGTTGGTGAAAATACATAATCTGGTTTGGAGGTTTCCCAAACAGCGTCAGCCTAGCCCTTTGATTATTTACATGAAAGAAAGACGATTTTGTGTCAGATCTGTTGGAAAATCGAGTCAAACGAGGTGGTTGCACTTAGCAATCATTGAAATTCAATGGGGATGATCACACCTAACATGATTTTGGGGGAATATATTAAATAAAATCTGTCAATCGCATGGGGAAAACGGTCTGTTTTGGAGTAGCACATCGCGTATAGAGTATTGAATTGAATATTTAACCCATAATAGGAGTTCAGGAGGACAGAAAAAATGGATAAAGTAGTGATCCCCTTTGAGCCTCACAAAAACGAGGGACACAAAGCACAGTTTATCACTCTCCTCAAAAAAAAAAAGAAGCTTCAGGAAGACAGAAATTAGGGGATTATATGGATATGGTAAAAGAGGGATCTCACTAAGCCTCACAAAATAACGAGGGGTAAACGGAGCAGGTAAGCACAGCGTATCTCTCTCCACTCTTCATTACAAAAAATAGAAAAACAAAAACTCCAACAAACTTCACAGATCTTTCTCTGAGAATCACCTCTCATTGCCTCGGTCAGCATATAAATCGTCCCATGCCATTTATTGCTGTGCTTTTCTTTTCTTTAGATGTAGATTTTATTATCCCTTTAATAGAGGCAATTAAAAAGTTTTTATCTGTTCTGTTTTGAGATACTGCACAGACTCGTTAAGTTGGGCTTTGCTTTATAGCTGCGCCAATGTTTTTTTTATTTATTTATGTATTTTTAACAACTTTTCATAACCTGTTCAAGTCAAATGTGGGAAATTGTTTTAATTTCTGTAGCACAGAGACAGAAGTGGAAAAAAATCTGCACAGATCTGCTCACCCTGCCTAGTCGGAGTCTCTCTAGACGCAGTCAGTACGACATGGGAAAAAATTCGGAATGGAGATTCAAAAGTCGTACACAACCGGTGAGTTCAGGCCTTTAGTCAGATCATCCTGTTAGCTTACACAATCATGTTATCTCATCTTCCTCTTGTGTTTTTATGTTAACTTGCTTTGGTAAGTTTTAAATTGTTCTTCCCTCAAAGGAACACTGCGTAACCTATGGCCCAAGTATTAGCTTAATTTAAGATAAGGACAATTTTTTTTAATAATGTTGGAGCATATTTATGCACTGTCAGGGCCTCCCTTCTTAAAAACTCTTTATATCTTCAGGGTTGGATGTGTCACTGAATAAGTCATTGAGAGCACCATTTTATCACAATCTAAGCTCCCCTTAAATATGACAGCTAACTAAGCTAAAGTTGTTGTTGGGCAGCAAAGCAGGTATGACACCAGTCTGATCAGAAATATTTTTGGTTATTTGATGAAGGACCTAAACCAGAAGGATAAATTTCCCCTTGTCTTTCCAAGTAACTCAAGGACTTCTCGATCTGCTGGTCCAAAGTGGTCTGCCATCAGAATCCAAAACAGCGTTCAATTTGATGAGTCCATCATAACCAGTGACCTTCACGGGAGCTAAATTCAAAGGGGCTAGAAGTTACACCGCGTTGCTTTAGGTAAAAATGTTTAATTTCACCTCTTTCCCAAATTTAGGTCCTACTCTACACCATTTATTGATTTGTTTTGGAGTTCTTTTTTTATTGTCAACAGCACAGTTAATCACTGCTTTGATAGAGACAAGGTGCCCTATGGCAACATTAATGTTACGCTATCCTTACTGGAACTTTACATTGACCTCATTCTTTTCCTAATAGGGGTGCAATATACTGATTAATAAATAGTCCAATGTTGATTCATCTTACTTATCAACTAACAATTAATTGATAAGCATAGTTTTTTTTTTTTTTTTTTTTTTTACGTATGGTATGAGCTTAGAAAAAAAGCATATCAGTATATTCTAATTATTTATTATGCCAGGTGTAATGAAATCTCCTAAAACAAACAAAACATATTTTACTACACATCATTACATTTGTTTATAAAATATAACAAAACAATATCCAGAGCATCAAAACATCTAGAGAATTCAAAGTTCAGAGCAGCTGACTAAAGTCAGCCAGCGTCCAAGATTAAAAGAGTCATGCTCTACGTTAAGGGTTATTTTTAAGTTGAGTTTGGGTTACTTCTAGGGTTAGGCCTGTACTGGTAATTGATAGGGTTATGGTGAAGATCATGGTTAGACCATATAAATGATAAGAAGTCAATTTAAGAAAAGAGAAACAACAAATATGTGGGAGTGTGTGTGTTTATTTGCTTCAGTCTTTGAAACTGAATACATCTGTTCAGTGAATTTAAGATTCTTAGCTGTTGGCTCTAACACGGACAGTCTTCCTACATGAACGTGAGCAGAAATGTCCTGATCAAGGTTTGTCCTCAATAAAAAGTGCTTTTAAGATTAAGCCTTGTAAAAAAAGAGAGCCAATCCAGTGTTGCAGTCTCTACTATTTGGTTGTCTAAACAGTAACAGAATTTCTGTATTGATTCAAACACGGATATCTAAATAAAGAAATCTAGCCATATTCAACAAAAGTGTATTATTCATTTCAAAAGAAATTTCTGATTCAGTAAAAACAGCTGCAGTTTTCAATAAACCGAGCACTAGGCTTATGTTATCACTTTTGATTGCACAGAACAAAGACATTTCATTGATGAAAAATGTGCAAGGGGTGGGAAGCATCTGTAAGAATGATCACATTAAAGACAAAAACGTGTTTAAAACACAGCCAAAAAATAAACACATTGCTCTGAACATCTTATAATTATTATTGACTTGTTTTCTACTCAACAGTCGTCTAAGCTGCTCAGATAACAGAGAAGGTCACATGGCTGCAGCAGCAATTAGTGCCTTTTTCACCTTTAATTTAAAAAATTTTTTTTTGGTAAAACTACCATTCTGTATCTGATGCAGATGTGCAAGCAGTGGTTGCATTTCTCATGAAAAACAGGATCGAGCTTATACATACATCTGATTGGATCAATAGTGCCCCTTTTTTGGAGGTGAGGTTCAAATAAAAAATGTGTGCAATTGGAGTTAATTAGCTTAAGCCCCTGTCACACCTTGACGACTTAGACAAGTGTATGCCTGACAAACAAAAAATCTGGCAGAAATGTTAGCAAATGTTTGATAAGTTATGGGTACGTTTTGTCCACATACGGAGAGTACATGGAGAAGTTCTAAGCTTGCTCAAAATTTCCCAACGTATGCCAGCATATGCCATACATTGGCCATAGGTTACAGGTAAGCTATCTAATCGTTAACATACATTAAGTTTAAGTTTCTCATAAGTCATGGAGTCTAGCTTATCCAGAAACTATGAGTGAGTTGAGCATAATTTATCAAGAACTTATCTCCAATGCATATCAGTGTATCTGACGTGTTTCAGATGACCGCTGAACGTGTTTCTAACTTACAGCTACTGTTTAATGGCGTATTGGCAGCATTTTGGTATGAAACAGGGTTCATAGGGGGACACAGTCAGTTCTCCTCCAGACAGCATCCCCATCATAGTGTAAACAAGAAGGCGAGTGTGATAGATCCTCCCTGCATTCACGACCATGGCACAACCAACAAACTTTCTAGCAGACATGAAACTGAATCAAACCCTCTTTCTTTTTGTTTTTATCTATTCTTTTCTTGGGGCAGGCGGTAACAGTAGCTAGATTAATATCGCGATAAAGGACATCTTTTTATGCGAACCGGGCGCCTCCAGGGCATTGCTGCTCCAGAGATGCGCCTCAGGGGAGCAGCTTTAACTGATGGTTCTTAATACCCATGACATGATGCACAAGCATTACGCTGCCGTTTATTATGCATAAGTTAAGTTGTCATTGGACATAAGCTCTGGACTCGTGAATATGCCATGTATATGCCCAAAATTGAAAAAATACATAGAAAGTTTAGCTTATGCCTGTGTTTTAGGAGATTCTGGGACGTCGGGCATACACTGGCTAAATCAGCAAGGTGTGACAGGGCCCTTAAAGAGTGAATGCCATGAGCATCCATGTTCTGTTTTCATATTTAGTAAAAAAAAAACACTAAATTACTTATAGTATTTGAATAAAAACCGTCACCCAGTCTTAACCACACAGAAGCAGCTTGCTCTGATGGATTTAACTACTTATGACTGTAATGCAGAATGGTATTGGGAAGCAAATGGGAGCAGCTAGCTTCCATGATACAGATGGAAGTTGTGCAGAAGGAAAAAAAAACTTTCTGGAAAAACATGCCAGAAACAAGTGACGCTTTTGGTGGCCGATGGGTTCCAGAAGTAACCACCTAAATACAGCAGTTAACTGCTGTAACTGTTCCTTTTTATGCACTAAAATGCTTGTTTAACTCGCTTTACTCATGGGCTAAATCCAACCAGAATCTATTTTCCTATGATTGAGACTGCAGGTATACACAATTTTCCATAAACACATACCCTCTTGCCCTTCCCAGCTGCTGCTGTCTTTAAAAAGCTTTGCCAATTTGAAAGTGAAAAGTCTGGAAAAGAAAACTGATCTGTTTAAAGGCCTGTATGTACAAAAAATAAATAAATAAGACCAAACATAGCAGAGTTATATTCTAATCCATCTTCAGGAGTTCTACAGTAAATAACCTTTGGGTTGCCTTATGCTCACAGGCTTTTCATTAATACAACAAAAAGAAAACCACAAGATCACTGTTTGCATCTCCTAAGAGTTATTTCCAAACCACAGCATCAAGATTAGAAGCAGAAGCCTTACCTTCCCAGGAAACACTTGGGAAAAGTGGTAAGCTTGCGTTTCCGGTCTTTAATGAGGTTCCCTTTGGTCATGAGGTGGTAGAGCTTTTCTCCTTTCTCTGAGACCATGACCCACGTGTCCTGCTCCATGCCAAGCCTAAGACCTGTGCAGAGGAAGAAGGAAGCGCAAAATGAATTCAATGTTTGCACTCTGCTCCTGAGCTACTTAACAATTACAAGCAGAAGGTTAATGCCCTCTAATTTCAGCAGTACAGTTTGCGTCAATAGTCTAAGTGTAGATAATGTCTGACATTAGGGAGCATTTATTTAGAGCAGACCTAAAACTGAGATGAACTGACTTAAAATAGATATTATTGTAGTTAGATCACTGCTATTAAGTCAGTTTGATGAAATACTGTTTGACTAAAGCTACTGCTTACTTTTCCTCCTCTCCCTTTCTTTCATGATGGCCTCCAGCCACTCCTGTTTCTCCTCCGGGGTCTTGGCCATGCAGACGAACCACTTGTTCTTGGCTGTGTTGTGGATCTTCCAGCCGTTGTTAACGATGTTACCGCTGCTGTGGTAGTCAGCTGTGCAGCAAAGTAGGAGAGCACATTGCCAAAAAGAATCTTAAGAAATACATTTAGATCTTTTACAAAATGCTTTTATTGTGACATAAATCAGGTTTTGAGTTCATGTCTGAAGGGACAGTCAGTCAGTTTGTTTTTCATTGGTCTTGATTGTATAAAACTACTGGGAACAACAGAGAAAACAATGGTTTTGTATTAATCAAACAGGAAATAAACCAAATAAACTTCTGGAAAACACAATTCTGAGACCTCTGTCAAAAATGTATTGATTTGATAATTATAGTAGTGTGCAAAAAATGACTGCAAAACTAATAAGGAATAACTTCCTTTCATAATTTGAACTACTTTTTTCCAAGTTTAAGAGCTCAAAGACCAACGAACTTGCCCATTGACTGCTGCTCTTCCTCGTAAATGACATAAATCAGAAAAAACAAATAAAGAAGCCCTGTCAATTGACATTATATAAATAATACCTATAATATTCCCTTAGAATTAATCTCCACTTGCATTTTTCATATCAATCAACAAGTTTTATCATTAGATAAAGGATTTTGGCGAGAAACCACACAAACAAATAACTTGACTAGAACCTTTCTAACAGCATGAAGTAGGCATGATCACATCAACTCTCAAATTAATCTCAAGAACAGATTGGAAATAGAGTGAAGCTGTTCTAATTGTCCTTTGGTGCTCGCTGTGTCCATAAAATGAACTTGGTGGTTGAATTGTGGAGAATCTAAGCTTTCCAACAATGTCTATGTCTATATTGGAAAACATTTTACCAGTGTAATTTTCCTGCATTCTGAGTTATTATATGTAAACGCTTTAAAACAGTGGGTTTGGGTCTTTATTTTTCTTTGAATTAAGACTTTTGTAGAATCATCCTGTCCTTTTTTATTTTGTAAATGAAAAAAGAAAAATCAGCATGAAAAAACAGACACCAAAAACAATTGACAAAAGATATTAGGAATCATTTAGGACTGATGCCCAAATAATCTGCATATGCATTGACCTTATAAAACCTGTTTTGTTCGATCTCTACCAGAATCAGGCCATGTCCGAAAATAACTGCATGGGCAACATTTGTACTTTTTTGTAACCTTAACAACAATATGGGAGAAAAGGCTGCAATTCATCAGGAAGATTTCCCTGTCTTTTTCAACAAAGACATATTGCACCAGTCCAAACAAAAATCTTTCCAACATTATACAGTGCATTTTGAAAAAGTAGGTCTTAACCACTTCTTCTAGAACGAGCCTAACACTTTGCATATATATTTATGCTTGCTCATGCATCCAAATTCCCAACATAGAAACAAAGAATTCATTTGTAGAGAGTTTTATTACTTCGTTTTTTTAATCAAAAAGTAAGACAAAATGTACAGGCCAAATGAATGTAGTAGAAACCGGGCAGAACAGAAGCTTTTTAGCTTAAGCCTGCAGCCAAAAAATGGTCACAAAAACTGAAACACGAGTAAGACATAAAGAAAAATACAATAATCAGACAAAACCTTTTCTTTTTTTTAAAAAAGGGGACATCAAACGCATAAATATTGGAAAAGTTAAAAAGAGGTTGTAACAA